GATATTCAGTGTACACGTGCACCCATAACCTTCGTGTAGGGGTTAAGTGAAGTGGGTGGGTGTGTCTTCATGCATAAAGGGCACTCGAGATTCTGCGCCGTTGTTTGATTAGTCATAGCTGCGCCGAGGACCCCGAGCAGTTTTAAGGTCTGGTGGACGCATTGAGTCTACTAACCTTCCAATGGGGCTATTCTGACGACTAGACTCTGCTCCTATCCTTTCTATAAAGTCGATAAACTTGTATCGTCCACAACTGGATGCGATTCTATCCGCAACTTCAACCCACGTACATTGTAAATGTCTGGGTAATTGTGTGAACAAAGACTACAGCTCGGGTATGAAATCCAACTCGGACCCACAACCCATTTCTATTAGGATCATATAATTTAATACTAAGTCTACTCAGACTCTCGCCTATTCCAATTAGGTCTGTCGTCTTAGCTAGTACATCATACACCACATTCCATCTTGTTTCGTGTGGTCGATCGAATAATTTATCCAGTACTTGTCTTCTGCTGCCGGAAATCCCAAGTTCGAACAGCTCTAACGCTATTTATTTCCCAGGTAACCTTTGCATGACCGCGGCCCCCTTCCTAAAAAATACTATACATTTGTATTTTCGATAAATCAAAAGGAAGTAAAAAGACATTTTTTATTGATGATTTGGTCAACGGGGCTAGGACACTGCCGGGACAGTGTGAGCTCTATAGAAGAGACTTGGAATCAAATGAGGGACAACCTAGTATACCCCACGAAGTTCCGTGTACCTATACGAACAAAGGGGATAAGGGGAAGGAAACCATGGCCCCGACTCAGAGTTCGCCGAGTGCTGGAGAGAGAACAGCAGTCCTAGATGGCCTTCGACAGGCGGCGAGGCCCTCTGCTCCTCACTCGCTTCTGACGACTTCGCAGCAAACCATCAAAGTCATACGGACGGCTAAACTCAATTACGAAAATGACCATAACCTAAGAAGCCTCTAAAAATCCGAAAGGGTGTATCTGTTATGCTCGAGCACGGTCTTGCTCAAGAAAGATGATTGCCAATGCCTCTGAATTACTGGACAACTCTTGCCGACCCTTCCTCGTTTCATTCCAAGTGGTCTTTCGCCTGGATAGTATGAGCAACTATTCTTCTCTCGACCGATATACCAAACCTGGCAACCTCTCTGTAGCACGAGTAAGGAGTCCTTAAGACTCTACAGACCTCTAACTCTGCGGGCTGGATGATATCCACCCAGCCGTTAGACTCTTCAGTGATCTCCGAACTAGTCGCTATGTTCAATCATTCTCTGAACACGGGCTGGGTTCCGGACTATTGGAAGCATGCTGTTGTTGTTGTTCCTGTCTTTAAAGAAGATAATCAGTCGAATCCGTCTAACTTTCGTCCCATCAGTTTTACTAGCATTATTACTACGCTTTTGAAAAAGAAACAGAACAATCGGTTACAGTAATTAAAATACAAGGCTACCTGTTAATGATAACACCGTTATCTGGGGATTTAGTACTGTACAAACCATTACGAATTAATGAAAATCGACGTGAAATGGAAGATAATTTCACGGGTAAACAGAATTCATTAAGAACGTGGAAAGGTCCAGGTATAACAGGATACGCTTGACGTTCTGTAATGCGGCGATATAGTTGTTGAGCTGGTTCAACATTGCCGTTTATAAAACGCTTGACGTTATTCATATTACTTTCAAATTTGAAGGCAGAGAACGTATCCAGCGGACCATGAACTTCCACATCATCAGGCAAGTGTATCAAACAATGAACGTTATATAGAATGTCTTCAGGATCATATAAATGGCCCATATCATATCACAACATACAAAGGATTTAGCAAATGGAATAAAATGCATATGCAATAGATGCGAAACTAAGTAAATGTTTTAGCATCGGGAAGAATATTTTTAAGAACAACGGGACCTAGATAAAGTAAAACTAAACGAAACTCCGTCGATTTCCAACGTTCAAAGTCGTCTAAAGGACGACATTTACGTGAGAAATCAATGGGAGTGTAGGCATGAAATAATAATAAACGTTCATTAATTTCACAGATACCTGGTCGTCCAATGCGATGTTCGCGATCGGATTTAGGGGATAGCAAACGCTTCATGGCACCCAGTAAAATTAAGTGCATGTAATCCAAGGGAAAGCATTTTATCATATCGATGGGGAGGGCCTATAGTGACTTGAGACCGACCGCGTAACATGCTTGAGAGTTGTCACCACCTTTGGTCTGCCTGTCCCGCATATATGCTTTCGCATGGTTGCAAGGATTGGTTGCTTGGAGCATTCGCACGTGCATCCTTCTCCTCTGTAGCACAGATCCCGCCAGGATCTTCGATATCCTGAGACCGCTTCTTCAGCTAGGTCTTTTATCTTTGTTTAAGTCACTTCCACCTCCAGTGAAGTAACTTCACTTTAAACGGTGCGTGAGTTCAGTGCTACACCTTCGTTTGCTAAGCATGTTCACTTTTAGATACTCTCGAGCGTAGTCAGGCTAAACTCCGGTACTTTCAGGGAATAATATACTTTCCCTTGACTAAGCGGTTGTTCTTCCTGATTCATACCGGGTGATCGAGAAGCACGGGAGAATTAGAGACCGGATCACTGTTGAAGGTTGTGATGTTGCATCCTCCGTCTCTAAGGGCCTCAAATGGTGAGGTACTGATATGATGGCGGTCATGTGTTCCCCAACGAAAGTGTTCGTTTGAACACAGATTACAGGGTCCGGCATACTCAATATTGACACAATATTACACACTTATAAACCATAGTCCAATGTTATAACCGTTTTGGTATGCATTTACAAAACAATGTTACTAGACGTCTAAGTGTTTTTGCAGATGTATGCAGTCACGCAGTTCACTAAGGATAATGCCATCGCAGTGGTATTAAAAAATGGCTGGTCTCGAAAGATCAAGTGCGTTGGCCAAGAACTACAAGTTCGGAGACCATCCTACGCCTTCTTACGGCCAACGCCGCAATGCCACTGACAGCCCCGTGCTGTCAGGTTGTTATATTAACAGAGACAAGTAAGTAATGCACCGTTTAATAATGATAAACTTTCAATCATAAGACGATTTAGAGAAGGCGTGTGATCTCAAAAGAGATCTGTTGCAGTCTTCCAGATGTGAAGACACCGATGCAACGACGCGAATGACGTTCTCGAAAAATTATTCAACGCGAAGGTGAGTGAGTCCTTTGTTGATGCCGACGATTCCTACGCGACCAATCAGACGACGAGGAAGATGAAGCTCCTTATAGTCGCCATCAGAAACAGAGGAGTCCTGAGATGCAGGACTTTCCGCCAATTCTGGTTGCTTCAAGGTAAATACTGTCATTAACTTATAATATATATTATCTAATAGCCCACGAAAGCTAGTACCAGCCAGCCAATGCACCGGGATTATATGCAGGAATCCTTTTCGCCAGCGATATTCGACGTTCCAGGAAGCAACAGTTCCTTCTCGCGAAATACTGCGTATGATTTTTAATCTTGCTTCATAATATTATATACAGCAGATCATTCGTAGGCACTACGCCATCGTCGATTTACATGACAATATCCAGGTACTAACAGGTAAATCTTTGTTATGTATTAATAATTTCAGATAGTATGCGTGAGATGCGAACAGAAATCTGGGACATTGGTTCCAATTCGGATTTGCTGCGTCGCAAGATAGATGAGCTGCTGTTAACGCAGCAGCCTACTTCAAGAAAATTCACAGCTGTGATCAAACGACCTTGTAGCACCATACAAGATCTAGAAGAGCAATTACACGAGAAAATGACGTACGACAACCTAGTAAGATGAGAAAATCAATTACATTTCTTTTCTAGAGGTCAATCAAT